CTACCCTCTTTCTCCCTCATCCTCAAGAGAGCATTTGGTCTTTGCTGGCCTAGTTCTTGATGCTAGAAAAAAAAAAAAAAGATGAGGGAGCCTGTCACAAAGAGACTTTGCCCTGCCTGGGGAGAAGGAGAATGATAGGTTTTAACCCACTGCTGAGTTATAACCTACATGCCATTCTCTTCTCCAAGACATGTAAGAGGAAGTACTGCTTTTCAAGTGATTTCAGTAGCAGACTACATTTTTTAAAAATGCAACTTCAAACTACAACCAGACCAGGCAAAGCTTGGATGTTACACAAAATCTAGGACCCAAAAGACAGCTCTGTGTGATACTGCACACTTGTGCTGAGCAAAACCACTCGGAAATGCAGGATGAGAAGAATGCTGCGAATGAAGTCCTGGAGAGTCCAGTTGTTAAGGGACAGCTTGCAGGGGGAAAGGAGAAGGGAGAAGACAAAGGAGCATCCACCTTAGCATCTAACACCTTACATTATTTTTAAAGGCTTTTTTTATGCAATCATTTTATATTACTATGAAGAGTCATCTACTGGTTGCCAGGCCAGAGAGCTATTATACATAATCTCAGAAAGATAAAGAAATCCACTGTCAGAAACAGACACAAAGAGGTTTTCAGGGGCTGGGGAGATAGCTCAGTAGAATAAGTGCTTGCCTGGCAAGCACATGGGCCTGAGTTCAAACCCTCGTTCAGCCAAAAAAAAAGGCTTTCAGAAAGTCCCTCAGACGAAAAGTGGGCCTCACAGATATAAGTCACCAAACTGTATAAAGTGCCACTCAAAGACCATATTTTATCATGCCTCTGATTAGAACATGATCATTTGATAATGTCTCAGAAAACTTTACATTAGGCCCTACTACACTATTGAGCGTACAGTAACTTCTAAGGGCAAGGCCTTCTCTCTCCCTTGCCCCTCCTGCCTACCATGTGACCTCCTCCACCAGGTAGCACATGAAAAAGCTTAGGCCAATTACGCCAGTCTAAAACACAAAAACAAAACAAAAACACCAGTATGAGTGAATATAAAATTTTGAGCTACATAAATGTAAACCCTAAAACTACTGTATGAAATTGGAAAACCAGTAAACTCCATGTTTACTCATCCTGATCCAGTATGCACAAACCCTGCTAACTCTACTTGCTACTAATGAAAACAATTCTTGCGAAATGCAATTTATGGATTTCTAAACATAAAGCCCACCTTTGAAAAATATTACATATTAAAGATACATTATCCATATTTCTATTTGGAGAAACAAGAGAAAATCTGTTCCTACGCAAAAATCACTGTCCTAAATGATAAACAACTACATTTTAAGCTATTTTAAATCACTATAATATATTTGCATGAACTGATTTAAATAAACTACAGGAGTATTCAAATGAATGAGCAAGAATTTCCCAGTTATTAATCTAGAAAGAAAGAAAATAGATCAAGGCTCACATTCCTGCTTTGTTTTTTCATTATACAAAGATGATGGTATGAGATCCCCAAAATTAAGAATACATAATTTCAAAAACATACATAATTATCAACAAGGTTTGCAAGTCTTTTATAAAGAGCTTTTGATTTCCCTATTCCAATCACTAACCAAATAAAATAAATATCTAGTGAACAAAAACCCAAAGTTTTCATAGTCCATACTAAGCTGATGAATTCAAATCAACATAAGGAATGTGGTTGTTCCAAGTTCCTCAGGAACTTACTATAATAAACATAGCCACAAAAATCTATGTTGGTAGTATTTCCAATATGGATAGAAAACTTAAGTTTTTACAAAATAGTAAGTTTACATCAATGAAAATTCATGTTTGGCTTCTGGAGTTTCACCAGAAAAAAGCTAGTCAGACACCACAGTCCACAGGGTTCATGCTGCCAAGCTGATACCCCATCTGAACACCCCAAAGTGTTCCTGAGTATAGAAGCTGGCTTTCAAGAACTGTTGGAAGCCCTTCTAAAGGCCTGAGTCAGAGGGATAAGTAATTTCATAATCAAATACCATTAAAAAACCCTGTTTCGATGGCTAAATACCCATGAATCACAGCAACCTCTCAGCATGATACCCATGCAGCAACTAATTAGCTTCTTAGAAGCGCATGAAGCTACCTGCTAATAATAATGCCTTGTGAACAAGGATTATGATGTCCTAATTTCATTCTGCAAAGTATTGCTTTATCATCTCTAAAGAAATAATCTTAATAAAAAGAAGTACAATCTGTCTAAGGAAACAGTACCCCTTGTGCCAATTATTTTCCTCTGGCTGCCTTGGCCATAGCTGGTATGTCTGTATTCTTCCAAACAGTCATGTGTTGATGGTCACAGGTTGGTAGTGCAATTTGGAATTTCAGTTTGTTTGCTTGTTTTCTGCAAAGGCTTCAGACGCTCACAGAAGATGCTGGCCAACTTCAAAGTGTGCTAAGTCCCAAATGCAACACAAAATTCCTGGCCAGGCTATGAGAAAGATCTGCCCTTGGGAGTAGAGAAGTTAATGTTCTACAGCCTCAGGAAGTGCCTAACACAGCATATCAACTGGTGAAATCTTATGGTCTCTCCCTTTAGATTATTTAGGATTATTCTATCAGTCTGCTCCAATTTTTTTTACAACTGGACACATCTTAATACATAGTGCATCACATTTGTTTCTCCAACAGAAGACTACAGGTTTGTCAACAGAATACCCTTCTCTCACATATCTTCTACACAAGTTGCCAAAATGTCAAGTCTAGGCTTGTGCATGGTGTGTGCACTTACATGTTACTAATTAGTACCGTGGGTTATAACTTCCAGTGTCTTTTCCATAAGTCTGTAGCTTTCATTCATTAAGCTGTAGCCATTTTTCTTCTCTTGAAATAACAGTGGTACTTTAATTTATGAACTTAGTTTGTTTTAAAATTTTGGGGAAGAACGCTGCATTTGTGTTTGTGTGGGGAAGGTGGCCTGGGTCATGTTGTCACCCGATGCAAAGGTTGCCACGGAAAGCAAAATTCTGCCAAATTGTTTGCAAACAGTGTTTGTGAACCAAGGTACTACTTAGTATTTTCTGAAGCAGCATCTCAAAGTTCTGACATTAGGTAGCGGATACCATTAATTCAAGAAGCCAACTGAGCATAAGACATTACCTTTTAAGCTGCCTGCAAAGCAATTAGGGAACAGCACATTTCACAGACCAAAGAAAACAGCCAACTAACACATCTCTCCATAGCCACATATAATAACCTGGACACTAGTTTGGCACCTTTGTAGTACAAAGTAATTTTAAAGAAGAGTATAATATTTCAATATTCTTATACACATTCTTTATGTACTCATTTACTTCTTCCTTCACATTTAAGTCTCATAAACAAATTAGAACAAGCCTATAACTTTCAAATAACAAATGTGTTCTTGGAAGAACATCCATGAATTAAACTGAGTTTATATACAAAGAACAACCAGCACATCATAGAAATGGAAAGTGTTCCTGCAGAATGTGTTCCTGCAGATGGTGGAGTGCAGCTGAAGAACAGAGAAGAGCCGTGGTAGCACATATCCATAATCCTAGTACTGGGGAACTGAGACAAGGGGATTGCAAATCATAGCCCAACTTGGGCAATTTGGCAACATTCTCTGTAAAAAAAAAAAAAAAAAAAATGTGTTTTTCTTCTAAGGGGCTGAGGTAATGAAGGCTCTGGATTCAATCT